TAATTATACAATACTATAGAATTAAAATAGAAAAATTTTTTACTGAAATTGATCAAGTAGTTACTGAGAAAATCATCGCTAGAAGGTTTCGAATTTTTTAATAGGATTATTGTAATTAATTAGATGTTCTAAGAACATTGACACGTGGTCACCAACCGAGCACAGTTTATAATTTTGCGTCCAGCAGACCAAGGTTCAGACCCGGAATTTTGGTTGAGTTGATGCGATCCGTTTAAAACGAAAATTAGATTAAAATTGGCTTTCATTTATTTTATTTTCGTCTATGAAGTTTTAACAAGTTTGGGTACGAAGCTAGAAAATTTACCACCGTTCCACCTCAAAATCAGATTAAGAAAGAATTACTAAATGTATTTAGAGAAATAAACAACCTGATATTTATATTATTTATTTATAATAGGGTGACGTCCTATTTCTATTTTGAAATTTTGAAATCAGAAAAAGAAATAAGAGTTTTCCGGAGATAAATGAATAACCTTTTATTTGATTATGTATTGTCATCATATAATACTATCGTAATAAATTAATTAAGAACTACAAATTATTTTTTTAAAAAAAATTCTTAAGTAATATTAGTAATATTACATTATTCTCGCTCGGATTTCATATTAAACACTTTCTTTATTAGACATTATGAAGATACATGATGGGAATAGTGCTCCACTATCATTTTCTCTTCTGCTATTGCATATTGTGCTCTATGTACACGTAGCCCACGTAGATATACTCACGTGACGAAACATAATTGAACTATAGTGTGACGCATTCTACTTTTAATAAGGTAGCGAGTTCGAGCCCACGGCGCATTCAACTCGTTACACATGACTACATCAACATAAAGTAGCGAGTTCAAGCCCACAGCGCATTCAACTCGTTACACATGGGCAACATCAACTTTTATAAGTGTAGCGAGTTCGAGCCCACGCTATGATGCGGCGCATAGGGCTATATTTAATTTCGAATTATATATTTAATATGCCTCCCAAAAACTTCTAAACAAACCACTAAAGGATGAGAACTTGAGAAATATAGTAAGATATCGATTTGATTCAATTTTTTTAATAGTTCCAACAGTTCATCGATTTCTTTTTCATGAATATTAGTTGCATTTTTATGAATACTATTAGAATATTCTTTTATTAATACTTCTAAAATACTATTTACAGTATGTTTTTGATATGTAATTGTCGATCAGAAATATAAGGCATTTTAAAATATATATGAAAATGTATCAAGTCTCGAAAAAAAATATCATAAAAAGTTATTATATAAATAAGCTTAACAATCAAAATAAATAAGATTTATGAACCACTAATTTCGAAATAAATACATCACTAATTTAATTCGAAATCAGAAACCTAACCCCTAATTCTGAATCACCCAATAATTTGATATTTATCATTTTATTTACAAAAAGGTAAAAACATCTAAAGTGCATTAACAATAATCATTTCATTTACAAAAGAGATTCACTAGCATTCCTTAGAAAGTAGTCTAAGTAAGTGACACCTTTTACGCACGTATGGGTGCACAGTAACCTGGCGAAATTTTCTTTAATGAACTCGTAAAGTCTATGATTCATTCGAAATTTTTGATATTTTAGTTTTAAATGATGCAAAGAAAAAAAAATTCTGATCAACTTTATTAAAAAAAACAAAATCATATACGATTATACTTTAATTATCATTGTTTTCGTCTTCATAAAAATAAAGTGCCATGTTTGCTCTTTCAAATACGGGTGTTGTCATAATGCCTAAATATTATTATTAATATTGTATGATACAAAAAAATAATTGTTATGTTTAACCAATAATAATTTGATAAGCAGACGAAGATTTTCATATTGTGTATTAAAATTCGATATAATCCGACCATTTATTCTTTGCGAGCGTTCGAGATCGATCTCTAAGGTTTCTAGTTTTTTCTTTAATTCGTTGTTTTCTCTTTTAAGGTCGTAATATTGTGTATTAAAATTTGAGCGTTCAAGTTCGATCTCTAAGGTCTCTATTTTCTTCTTTAATTCGTTGTTTTCTCTTTCAAGGTCGTGATATTCTTGGATATATATGCCTTTTATATCGGAGTTCTGTTCCTTTTTTATCACGTTCTTCTATATGTCGATTTGCTTTTTTAGTATCAATCCTAATATTCAGCTCTCCAATTTCTCAACTCTTTTCGCTTTTTACCTGTTCGATCTGATCTTCTAATTCTTTTTTAATGCTGACTTCATCTATAAGTTGTTTTTTTCCTACACGTAGCCTATCGATAAAAATAAAAAAATTAAAAATAAAAAAATATAATAATCAATAACCTAAAAACATATATAACGTAGAAAACAATACCTTTCAATTTTTTCATTATTTTCTTTTCTTTCGCGTTGGAAATTTATAAAAATTTTTTTAAAGATTAAAGGATCATTCTCAGACAACTTTTCGATTTCTTGTTTCCAACGATCGTAACAATCAATTACATTATCGTAAAAATATTTGTCTTCGTATGGTGCCCTTTTTTTTTCTCTACCGAGATATTTCAAATAACTAACAAATTCTTTAATTACAAAGTCCTTAGTTAATCTCTCATCTTTTTTTTGTTGTCTGGTTTTAGGGGTTCTACTCCATGTTGAAGATTCATCGTTCTTTTTTCTATCATAAGGCGTTTTTCGTTCATGAGACATTTTTAGGAATTAACCGCTCAGATCATTTTGTTGCTTTAAATACTTTAATCATTATAACGGTTTAAGTGATATCCCAAGGAAACGTTGATGTTACACAACTGATTTTACACGCAGTGTGAAACACAAAAAAATTATTTTACAGTCAGCTATTTTTTATAATAAAAAAAATGATGTATTCATAACATGTACTAGCTGACTGATCAAGTCCGATCAAATAATTTTTTGTGTTTCACACCGTGTGTAAAATCAATTGTGTAACATCAACGTTTATC